GAAATTTAGGCACTAAAAATGGAAATTAAGGCACTAAAAATAGAAAGTCAGGCACTAAAAATAGAAAAAAAGATATTTATAAAATAGAAAGTCATGCAATGGAAATAGAAAGTTAGACACTAAAAATAGAAAGCAGGGCACTAACTATTTGTAAGATCATATTAGAGAAATCTTTCTCATGTAAAATGAGAGGAGCGGAGCAGAGACCATTCTTCATAACGCAGATTTCTCCTAATAGGATTTTATTGTCTTAAAACAGAACATTAACCAATCAAACGAATGAATAAAAAAAAAACTCCTCCCATGACTGTGTTATATATAATGCCAAAATTGACATTTCATGGTACAAAAGCTCGAAATCTATATCGAACACGTGCAGTGTAATAAATGAACCATTCAGGTTGGCATGGAATTATTTAGTGACAGTTTCAATATAAAACACGTCGGACAGAGTACAATGATCAGAAAACCCTTAAATACAGTTACCAAACAATTTTTACTACAAATGAATAACAAAAATTGTGTTTTGGCGTACTTGTCATGGCCATTTAAGAGATATAAAATATATCATAAAATTACAAATAATGAAAGAAGTATGCGCTGCTGGTAAACAATTGGCAGCATGAAAATTAAGCAATAGAAGTGCGATCTTGATCCAGGGAGCCTGGAAAAAACAGTATCCCCCGGAGAAAGCAATCTATGCAAAATTTTGCTGAACAACAGTCACTTGAAACACACGCAAGACACACAAGGTTAGACACTTCGCCTCCACATACTGTGCAACTCTTCAATCACCGTAAAAGGCAAGAGTTCCAGGCCATGGCGCTGAAAAGGGAAATTAACAAATTGAAAACGAGGGAAACACAACGTCCTAAGCACTGTACAAAATACATGCATATCTTAGCATAAAAGAACGAAGTTACTTATTAGAAAATGAGAAGTTGACTACTTTATAAATCTTATAAATTGTGAACAACTTATTTTACACTAGGCATACAAAATTTATGGAACTGGGAAGGGTAGGGTGGGTACTGAAATATATGTACGTCTAGGAAATGAAAAGGAATATTCTAGATGACATGCGCAAACTACAGGACGACCAATCAGCATACCAAACCCGAGTTAAATTATACATGCCAGAGTTATGCATCTTTGCATATGACTGCACAAAATAAACAGGTTTATCCACATGAGATAACCCTCATTATATGAAACTGTCTGATTTACATGGAAACCTGTATGGTGAAGGTATTAAAGCTGCCGAGTTTACGAATTTTCTTGTATCAGGATTCTAAATGTCTAATTTATAAAATACTTATAATTTGGAGTTAAGATGACGAGGCACCAGTCGGCAGGGATGGACATCGGTCTGGTGTGAAATAAAATATGGTAAAAATTTGAGATGAATCTGTCTTCAGAGACAATGTTGGTCTCTGGTAATTATGACACTAATTGTATTTTATGAATGTTTTGAGATGAAAAAAAAAGCAAAAGATAAAAGTTGAAATAAAAATAGAAAATTTAAATATCATTGTAAACAGCACCTGGATTTGGCAATAGCTTTTTTTGTTATAAAAAAACCAATAAAGACACACTCGTATTACTTTCAAGTGAACTAAGAGTTAAATATTTTTAAAAAGGAGAATTCTTCACCATGAAGACTCAATTTTTTGCGAGAAATTGAAGCATTTGAATGGCTGAATAAGTACGTTCTGTTCTAACAAAGTGAAAGCCATGCACTGAAAATAGAATGTCATGAACTAAGAAAAGAAAATCTGGCACTAAAAATAGAAATCTAGTTACTAAACAGAAAGCCATGTACAAAAAATAGAAATCCAAGCACTAAAAATAGAAAGTCAGACACTAGAAATAGAAAGCCATGCACTAAAAATAGAAAGCCAGACACTAAAAATAGGAAACCAGGCACTAAAATTAGAAAGCCGATTTAAAAATAAAAGGTTGTGTACTATATAATGATATGCAATGATAATAGAAAGTCATGCACAAAGAATAGAACTCCAGGCACTTAAAATGGTAAGCAATACACTGAAAATAGTAAGTCAGTCATTCAAAATAAAAAAATAGAGGTTGTTCATTTAAATTCAGAGGAACTAGATAATTTGATTAAGGAGAGAAATTTCGTTAATACCAAAAAAATTCTAATTTTTGGTGGGCTTGGTGTAAAATGCGGAGGATGGAGTCTCCACAAAATGCCAAAATGGAGGGTCAAAGAGTGCAAGGGGTGGAGCCTCTTGTGTTAGATGATGCAAGAGGTGGAGCATAGTGCTTGTCGTAAATTAAGCACGTACTTATCAGATCTGTCATCTCATTTTCTGATACTCCGTGAGAATGTGTTACATTACCCAAACAATTAAAAAAAATAATTTCATTGAAGTTGAGTGAATGAAACTCAGTTATATCTCCCAACCTGATTTTGTGATGACCATTTGACAGTATCTGATGACATTTGTTTATAAAGTCCATAAAATACAAAATGAGAAACAAAGAAACAGGAAACGGTAATTAAAAAAAAATAATGAACACCACATTTCAACGAGGGGAACAGCTTTGCTGATTATTTAATTTTTAACGATAACAGAGACTGACTGAAACAGAATAGCATCAAAATTATTATCTTTTGGTGATATTTTACACAGATATATATAAATAGACTGATATGTATATAAAGGTGTCAATGAATATCGGCCTCATTACAAAACACCTATTACACCATCTGAAATCTGATTGCTGTCGAAGACACTGTCCGATGTTGGAAATGTGCCGTGATGTCATTATTCACTCAGAAATATTATTCCATTTTAGAAAAATTAAAAATAATTAAATAATAGATTCAGTAAATTAACTGATTGTTTTATTAGAGAACTCTGGCCATTAACTGTTTTTATTTTATTTTTTTGCTCTAAAAAGAATGAGAAACAAGCATCATGATAAAGAGACAACAAAATGAAAATCGAAATGACCTACAGATATGAGAAACAAATGAGGGGCATACAGACCGTGCTTGTGATTTAAATTTTGTTTTGCGATATCACAGATGTTAGGTGCAATGGAAACTGTCTGATTTACATTGCTATCTCGAAGTAACCCAAGAGGTCTTGACAGATTTTATTAGTATAGGTATCAAATATCTGAAGGGCCAAATGTTAAAATTGCTAAGGGCTAGATTACCTAAACTTCTAGGGAAAGATGACAAAAAATATGTCCCCTCATTTGTTGTTGATATAATTGAAAGTCATGTTATCTTTTTTTGTGCTAAATTCATTTTCAGTTGTAATTTAATTGTATCTTCGTTTTGTGGTGTATACACATACAGAAGCTTTTGTAGCTTTTACAGCAATTATGAAATATACTTTTTAATTGTTGATAATTTAAAGACAAAGTGATCTGCGATATGTTATGCATGACATATTTCTATGCAATAAATTTTTTGGGACATACCAGTATCTAGACTCAGTAATTAATTCTGACAGGCACTTTTTATCACTGATGGAGAGCTCTACAAACAACCCAGTTGTATCCAGCTTCTAAAATGATTGAAACATAAAACGGGCAAATGTATAAAAATTGACACAAGAGGCTCCACCCCTTGCACTCTTTGACCCTCCATTTTGGAGTTTTGTGGAGACTCCATCCTCCGCATTTTACACCAAGCCTTTTTGGTGTCCACCGTCTTCATAACATTCCACAGTCCCCAGTGACATGTATCATTTTAACAACAGTTGTGTTAATGGTCCAACATTATAATATAAACTATTACCTGGGCTACTAAATAAATTGTAATTAGGCATTTTGAACTGTTTTCCGGTGCATTTTAATGTTTTCTGCATACCATGCAACAGTCAAATCTGTTTAACCATTTCAGAACTGTCAATCACGCCATTTGCGTCAAAAACGCATTGGTAGCCTATCGTATACCTAAACGCCGGATAATGTTACAGATACTTTAAGGACTACTAGGCCGATCTGAACCTATGTTGGGGCATCGATCACACGACAAAATACAACTGATTCCAACCCGTCAACGGTCACAGGCCGTGAAATGTTACTAAGGCATTAGGTTTATTATCGGGATTATGAAATCGTCTTTGAAATGAATGATTGATTTCGCAATCTTTTGGCATCACTAGCAATTGAGATGTATAACGTGGTAACTAAAATAAAATTAAATATAGTGCGCAATCTATGCTTAGATAAATGTTATTAGAGGCACAATTTCCATAATAGTCTTCAAAATTCAAAAAAGTCTTCAAGTTCAGATCATGATATATGGGGGTAGGGGATGTAGGGATAGGCAACAATGAATATGGAATTTTTACAAAGGAATATATATGAAAATTCTTTAAAATTCTTCTGTTCGAGAACAGCAAAGCCTTTTTTTTAATGATGAGGAAGCATCCGTTGGAAGTTTAATATTCAAGCCAGCACCTTCCTCTTAATTCAAATTTATCAATAGTAATTGAACTTATTTGGGCTTTTTCTAGTCAATGTGCTTATGAGAAAGATATGGTCCCTGGACCTCTTATTGTCTTTTTGATTGTGAGATATCTTTATTTGTTTTGGGTTTTTATTTGTATTTGTTTCTGGTTATTGTTTTTAAAAATACACTACGAGTCATTAAGTAAATTTATTTTTAAAAAATCGATTTAAAGCCTTGTTTTCTTTTTAATTTAGGATTAATGCACATGTACTTATAAATAAATAAAGGTGTTTCTTGCTACTTGATGGTACAAAAGTTTTGATTTTATTAGTTGAGATAAAAAGAATGAGCGGTCTGATTAATAAAATGTAAATTAAAAAAATACTTTCTGCATGTCTCCATGTTTTACATCCCACATGAATCTTAAAGCAAATTTAACTGGTTTGGTATAGAGGGTCGGAAGTTTCAATTGCTCTCTCACTGCATTTAGTTTCCTCGGTCTCCATCACTTAAGAATTACAATGGGCATTTAAATATCAAGTGCTTATGCATTTAGTACATTGATCTTCAGAGTAAACCTGAGAATTAGCGTTTTAAGTAAATCTACATGTTCTGTTCATCATTTTAAAGAAACCCATGTGTGATGATAGAATTATAATGAACCATTGGTTTTAATAAGGTAAGCCTTCATGTCAAATTAGCACCATTTAACTAATGTGTATTTAACATTTCAAAACTGAAAGTAGTTTGGAAGTCTCCATTTCATTATTTATTGTTTAAATCAAATGCGCTGAATTGGCTTTTTTTTCTTAGATGGAAAAGAAAACAATCTTCAGATTATTAACATTTTTACGTTTAGGAAAGCACTATCAATTTAGAAAACTTAATACACATGTGTGTTCCGGTGTGTTAAAATAAAAAAAAAAGCATTAAATCACTGAATTAAAATACTTTGCAGGAAGAAAGTGTATGTATAATGTAGTACTTATTTAGCATTGGAGTGTCTGAAGGTCACGATGCAGGGGTCAGGGAATCAAATATTCCGGTAGTTTAGGCTATAAACGTTTTTTCTGCTTAAACAGTGCATTTTTTTTCTTTTCTGTATACCTTCATTTGTTTTAAATCAACTCCCAATATACTTTCTATGACGCATAAATTGTGTGTGTTGCTGTCTTTTAAATGCAAATTATTGTGGCTCTTGACAGGTAAAGAATTTCGGAAAGTCTTTCAAACAGTCTTACATGTATGTTTTAAGAAATGACATAACATCTATAGGTTACACTGTAGCAGCGATCACTGGTTTGTTTATACCCTGTTATGCGTGATAAATAAGCGACAAACAGCATGTTAGATTAATTTTTGTGTAGATTTATTTGAGTGATATCATAATAAATATTCCTCGTACAAATTAGTCCGCCCCCTCTTTGTAACCTTAACTGTGATGTGTGTGTGTGTGTTTTTTTTTGCGATTATGTTCTTTAAAAAAAAAACAAAAATTATAAATAATATGGATAATCTAATATAAAGTAATCATCTCAATACTTTCAGTTATCGTCTCAAATTATTCAGTTATTGACTTCGTATGATTTCAACATACGATTTGTTGGACCTGAAGGTGAAAATGTTGCCCGAGGCCGCAGGCCAAAGGCAACATTTACATCTTACGGTCCAACAAATCATATGTTGCTCAAACCCCAGTCTATAACTGTTTTGTTATACCCTTTAGTGCTCACTTAAGATTTAATCAATACACACTATATCATAAATTTTCTTTATAATTATGGAAATTATGACTTAATCAGTAAATGTAAAACAAACGCTGAGAAAGAACAGAATTAATTATATTTGTATAATATCAAAAAAAATATTTATCAGAAAACATAATGTTCCCTTCTTCCTTGCTAGTAGCAACAACTCTTGCAGCACTTAACTTCGGCTATTTCTGTGTCGCCGATATTGAACGATAACTAATGACTTGTGAAGTAGTGGCGTTGTGGTCTAACAATTCTTATGTTGGACCGGCAGGCTGGTCAATAGTGAAATTGTTAGACATTTCTTTTGTTTGATTTTTTATTAGTAATAAGAAGAAAGCTATTTATAAGGGTCTAACAAACATGTTATGTAACTTTAAAGTATCATAAATAAAAATTATAGTTTTCTTGCAGTATTAATCTCGTTACTTATCATACTCATGTCATAACCTTCCAACGCACCATCCATTTTTATAAGAGGGTTGTAACGGAAACAAAGAGTAAATATTATTTAATCCAGTTAAGTGTACCGTTTTGCATTACCTCACAATCTATGATGACAGCTGACCTCAGGATAAATATCGACGCCTCCTAACCACAGTCTTTATGACAGATAGTTTCTTCTTATCCCTCATCGATTGCTCGTACAACAGACCAATGTTGACCAATGTTTATAAAATGAGTTGACCAATCACACAGCAAGGATAATCAAAGCTCGTGTTACAAGCTGAATAGGAAATAAGAATTGTTTACGCTGGGTGCATCTGTCGAGAAAGATCGTGACGTAAAGTGAAGCGGTACAATTCACTGTAGTTGATATAGACCTTTGTGATATCCAATGGAGAACTCAAAACGAAAAATTCAGATAATATTTTTTTTCAAATAAAAGCAGGTTTAGAAAAATATATAGATATTCAAGTCAACCTCCAGAGAGAGTTAGAAGGAGAAAGAGAGATTTTGTGTAAGATACCAGTCAGACAAAAAAAATAGATGTCAGTCACATTTACATGAATTTTTCAATTTGAATTAATAAAAATAGCGTGTTTATCACAAAACACTTTAGATCATAAGTGCATAGAACCGGGCGTCATTAAAAGCTTGAGATTTTCTTCTTAATGCTCTAGATTGAATTACTGGGTGGAAACTATAAAACTAAAAATCAGTTTAATAGTTTTTCCTGTACAAAGATAAGTGGAAAATAATTGTCTTTCAGATACAGAAATCAGTGGTCCAATAACATTGAAAAAATAAATCAAAGTATAAAGCTTTGAAAAATGTTCCATAAGACGAATTTCACATTCCTCCCGTTGT